TGGCTCTGTTTCTCTGACTCTTTGTTTCTCTGGCTCTGTTTCTCTGGCTCTGTTTCTCTAGCTCTGTCTCTCTAGTTTTTTGTTTTTTTGTTTCTTCATCTTTCAGTCTGTCTTTTCATCTCTATCTATCTGTTCGTCTCCATCTCTGTCTTTGTTTATCTGTTTTGGTCTATCTGTCTTTTAGTCTCTTTGCTTCTCCATATCTTCACTGTCTATATATCCATCTCTGCATTCTTTTCTGGTATATTTAAATTTATTATAATTAGAAATAATTATTTTAAAATCTTTTAGGGTTTTGGAATTAGTTTTATCAGCAATTTGTAGGATAAATGAGAGAGTATCTACTAGTTGTTAGTGCGAATTAGTCTGTTTTCCCTATAATTCCTAGGATTTTGACTTGTAGAGGCTTGTTTAAAGTAATCAAGTCTCAAAATAATATGAAAGCTGGCAATTTTCATAATCTATATTCTATTAAATAGAATAGCTAAACTTCCCAGTTTCCTCTAGAAGGCGTTCTAATAATGAACTGGGGGTATGGAATTTCTAAAAATTCTAGGCTTCTTGCTATTCGCCTTAAGATTGATTACTATTGATCTTAAAAACATAGCTTGCCTTTAGTTATTTGAGTCAGGAAATTAAATCCATTAAGCAGAATGTTAAACTATTAAATTAATTTTAAATTATATATTTAATTATAATTCGCCTTTAATCTGAGTGTAAGGAATTATTAAATAGGCCTTAATTGGTTTTATTAGTATTTATTATTAATAGTTAGGTTCAATTTTCTTCTAAAGCAATTTTATATTTTTTTAAAATAATAAATTTACGTATAAATATAATTACAATAATAAAATAAATTTACCTACTAATATTATCAATTTAATATTATTATAAAGCAATGAGTCAACAAAATAAATCACAAAATCAGATTTATTATGAAGTTAAAAATACTGGTTTTGAATTTAGTTTTAATAAAGATTTGTCGATCAATTCTGTAAGTTTTTTTAGTTAGGCCAGTTTAATATACTAGTATTCTGATTGAGTTGGGTCAAACCAGAAAAAAAAACCAACCCAAAAGTTTGGATTAGGTTTTAAGTTAAGAAAAATTAATCCAAATTTTAAGTAAAAACCTGACCTAAAATTACTAATAATAAGGCAAGTTAGCGTTAAATTAATTTTGGCTAGCATTATGATTAATTTTGGCTAGTATTATAATTAATTTTAGCTAGTATTATAATTAATTTTAGCTAGTATTATAATTAATTTTAGCTAGTATTATAATTAATTTTGGCTAGTATTATGATTAATTTTAGCCAACATTAAGTATTATACTGAGAGTAATATACTAGTTAATTAAAATTTAACCTACTGTTTTTGTATATATACTTTATATATTACTATAATTAGCAAGAGATTTTCTCAGTAGTAAATTAAAAGATAATATTGATTTATTTTGATTTATATATAGATTCTCTAGTTAGTTTTAGACTAGGTTCTAGTCAGGTTAGTTCAAGCTTCAACTCAATTAGAATACTAATTATAGCTTCTCTTCTATTTTTTAAAAAAACTTATAATATTAACTAATAAAATAGTATGCAGCTATATTTTTACTAATCTGAGCCTATACTTTCTACATATATAAGCTACTCTAAGTTGAGCAAAAAATCAATTTGGAGTAGTTTTTGACTATTAAAATTAAATTATTTATAAAAATTAAACTTTTTTTAAACAGATTAAAGTAGATTCTAGAGATAATTTGTGGACACAGAGTAGTTCTAATTGTAGTACTACTACTGAACTACAGGAATAGAAAGGAGAGAAATGCAATAATATTACAGACTTTTTTGATCAAAAGTTATTAAATGTTAGCATTTTTAATACAGTAATTAAAGATTGTATTAAAGAACTAATATTTAAGAATTTAGATCAAGAGGTACTTAATAATATAGATATTCCTTTAATAATTCTTCCAGATTCTAGAGAATATCTAGTTAATTTATTAAATTCATCGATTTGTATAAATTTTTTAGAAAAAATAAAAATTTTTTTAAATAATTTTACAAAAAATAATAAGATTCAAAATCTTATGAGTTCAGAAAGTAATGCAATTGGTTAGAAAGATTTAATAGAAGGTATTTTAGAAATTTATATTGAAATTGCTAAAGAATATTGGAATAATGAAGTTCAAAAACCTTCTGGAAATCAGGCTAGAATATGACAAAAATTAATTAGAAATAGAAAAGGAAGAATATTTGGAGATATGGTATACTCACTTGGAGAACTAACAAGAATAATTATTGATACTATAGAGAAACCAAGTGTAACTTTAAGAGATAAATTTAGAGAATTATATAATTTAAATCTATCTCAATTAGAAAATTTCAAATATATACAAGGTAAACTATTATTAATATTAAAATTTAATATCAAAACTAATTAAACTTATCAAATAGGCAATTATCACATCATTGATAATAATAAATCAACTATTGTAAGAATAGTTTCACTTAATTAGAAACAAAAATTTATTTTAAATTTATCAGAGGAAGCAGTAATTAAATATTATATAGAACATTCCAATAATAAATTATATGAAAATCATAAGTCAGATAATTTTAAGGAGAGCTCT